ATACATGTCTTTGTTATTACGCTCTGCAATAAAATCTTATTTTAATCTGTCGACAAATAATGTGTATTGCAAATTATGTTAAGAATTGAGTTTACTTCTGCGATTATCAATACTGTATCCTCATATATAGAGATCCATGCCGAATCCAAAAAGGTAATGAATTAAATGATTACAATCACCAAGAAAAAATTCTCGTTTTGCAGTGCAGTAAATCTCCAGATTATATGATCAATTTACTTAATCGTTTCTTTATATTTTTTATTTTTTAAGAGAAATCTTGTGCTTACTTTATGTGTTTGTTTTGTAAATTGTAAGAAATTTTGCACGTATATTAAAGAAATTTAATGCTTCACAAGCATGCATACCTTATTTCGTTTAGTTTTCATTATCATTCCTTCTATTCTTTCCATATCTTTCATTTTTTTTGTTAGTCAATTTTTCATTTATTGAACTTACATATCAATAAACCTTCATGCTAAAATATTTCGTACCATATTGAACACTTTTAATATGTAATTTGTGGTGATTTTCATTTCCTTGATTAGTACAAATAAATTCAAGAAACGGTTTTCCTTTATTGGGAAGATTTTTTTTTTCTCTTTATTTTTATCATTGAATTTATGCCAGATCTGAATGGTAGACATACCAACCATAAGTTATTATAAAATAAAAAATTTTTTTTTGTTACCCATGGTTCTGATTCTTTAATTGCTGGCTTGAAATGCTCGAAATTATCATATTTATTTTTATAAAATAATATGGCGTCATTTTTAAATTTTTAAATGATTAGATGTTACTTTCCCTTCATTAACTTGCAAAAGAATTTCCGGAGGTACTACTAAACGAGCATTAAGATTTGCGCCGTAAGATGTTCTACTGGTATTACTATTTCAACCTCCTCATATATATCCCAGCTAAAAAAAATCTTAAGATGATCATCATTTTCACCAATCAAAAAGTAATTTCTCATCGCATTCAATTAAACGTATATTGAGTTTTTTTTAAGTTACAATAAACAATTTATTCTTTCGGAAGGAAATAAAATTAAATAGCACGTGATTGATCACATGATAACTCACCCAATAGATTGAAATTTGTTTATTGATCGAATAACATTTTGTACATTTCGTTTCATTATCGTTATTGTCGTCATTGCTGATTTTTACACTAGTTTTTATTTCATTTCTTCTAGATCCCATAAATTTGTTAAATAAAAAATGTGTAAAAATGTATTAGTTACCTTCGAGAAATTTTTCGTCACCTTTGTCGTAATTCTCAATCAAGAAATTTTTTTATTAATATGTGAAAGGAGTAAATGCAATTCTGTGAATCTACCTGTAAACTTTAAATTCATTCATGTCGCTTTCCGGATAATTAAATCTCTCTACATCATTAAAAGTTTTGTTTAATTATAGCTAAATACTGTATACCATTATAATTAAATAAAATAATTTTTTTAAAAAATAATCTGATTCAACATCATTCTGGATCCATAGCTTCAACAAATATATAATCTATTATAATTATATTTAACTTTATTGTAAGTCTCCTTCGCGTCATCTTTTAATTTAAGTTAATAAATAGCGGATTCGGGAAACAACAATGTACATAAATACAACCATCTCCATTATTGGAATTGCAATCATTTTAACATTTTAATCTCGTGTATTATTATTCACTTACGTTCTTTTTTCATAAGTTTCTCATCTATTCGATAAAAATAAAATTTCCGTCGTCGGATATTGGATATATCGATCGACCATCTATCATAGACGTAGGATGATGATCGTCAACTTCAGATCTTTCAGACGTTCTTTTTCCTCGGAGGTAATAAATTCGCGATGAAAGGTATTTTTTAAATTTTAACCTGAAGGTTTCTAAATTACGATAAAAATTTTGAAGAAATTTTTTTTAAAAAATGCAGGATGTCATTACTCCAAATAATGATTACCTGCATCAAACGTGACAGCATATTTTTCATTCGACTGATGACCATTTGATATCTTTTCTGAACATGGTCTTTGATAAAACTTTCATAAGAAATTTACTCAATAGGTTCTTTATTTTTTATATCAAGAATCCAAGGGACAAATGTTGTGAAGAAATGGAGAATTGGCGGTAGGAATGGTGATTTTTACTTCTTTCGAAACGTTGCAAAATCACACACTGGTGTCACGTTATAAGTCTTTTTGTTGTATTCGGAATTACAAAAAATTTATATGTATATATTTTTTCCTAACTTTTGTGCTTAAAAGCTACTTGAATCAGAATTGGAATCCATAATAAACTAATAATAGTTACAATGCATATAAAGAAAAACTAAAATAAACTTGTGATCAATCAAAAAAAAAAAATATCAAAAATGCAAACTTAAAATTAAAAGAATACAAAAACATGCGGGCGTTCTGAATTGGAGATCAACGCAAATCAATTAATACTTATTGATAATCCGAAATAAGCTCAATCTCATGTATTTATCATGTGCAATGCAAGGTGACAATACCTTTTTTTTAAGAGTTGCTAACAAATGCATGTATAAGGAACTTATTTTTTTTTAAAAAAAATTAGTTAATTTAACCGTTGGTTCAAATCTTATTTGGTTAGGAAGGGATGCTCATATATTGCATTAAACAATTACATATTGATCAAAATACTTAAATGAAATTAGTAATCAAGAAAAGTCTCGTATGCCTATGTGCATTAAATTAATGAATACCTTGGTATAAAATGAAAATGTCAATTTTTTTAAAATACTTGTACTAAAGATTATTTAAATTCTTAAAGTTGTAGTGCAAGAATGATGTGCCATTTTCCCAAACTGACAGATTAAAGATCAATGCTGATCAAAACATATCGGGAACGTTTCGGAGATGTGTTTCCGTTTTTCCCGTTTTGATGAGAATAATTTTATATATATACCTATATTCCATTAAAAATTAATTTTAAACTCTTACCTCCAATTTATTCAAGATGGACGGTGAAGAAAGTTCAGGTAATCAAATGAATAAATGCATCATGTTTATTCTAGAGCATTCAATATAGTTTGCTTAATGATTGATAATAGCGTATATTCTTCGACTCGACTCTTCTAAAAATTTAGCAAATTCTTCTGAATCTGCGTCCTTGTCTCAAGAATCAGGACCTAGTAATCGACAAACTAAATGTAAATTATCAAATAAATGCATCATGTTTATTCTAGTGCATTCAATATAGCTTGCTTAATGATTGATAATAGCGTATATTCTTCGACTCGACTCTTCTAAAAATTTAGCAAATTCTTCTGAATCTGCGTCCTTTCCTCAAGAATCAGGACCTAGTAATTTATCAACAGCTCAGGATATGCATATGGATATCAGCATCCCTGATGAGATAACTGAAACCAAAACTACACTTGAGTACGATAACCAAAATGATTTGTGTGAATCTATTCCTGGCCTTTATCGACTACTGGATTTGTGCAAGGATGAAGGTTCCAATGGACTTGGTAAAGAACCTATCTTGTTTGAATCTTCTATTTCAAATATTCCACTCATGAAATCCTTTTGAT